GCGGGGCCGAGAGCCATGGGAACGGAGCGAGGCCGGTGGAGTAATTGATAATGAGCAACACCTGCACCACTCACCGGTCTCGAGTCTCACAGAGGAGCTCCGGAAGGATAAAAGGAGGAGTGACGACCGTGTTGGACGAGAGAGGACCAGGCCTGGATTTTATTTTTGTGTTTTGTGTGCGGCAGTCGTCCGTGAGGGGCTGCCGCTTTACTTTCGTTTTGTGTTTGTTTATTTTATTAAATTGTTTAAATGTCCGCCGGTTCCCGTCTCCTTCTTCCCGACCTACGAACGTTGTTACACATTTCTTTAGATTTTGGGGTAAAACATGAATGACCTTTCGATGTTTACCTGTAATAATCGACTCTTCCAGTCTTTCCTTCCCCTTCCTCCTCCTGGCCGATGCTCTGGTCCACTCGCTTTACCATCTGAGAGTTTTAAGACAGTTTATAAATTATGATTCAAGTGAAAACACACACCTGGTGATACATATCTTACCTTTAGGTGCATCGGTGGAATAAGACAAGAGCGGGAAAGCGTAATGCTTCCCTATGGATGATACTGGTTTGAGGCGGTTCAGGGCTAAAAACTGATAAAGAAAGGAATTATGAGCTGAATTATGAATCATACTTGAAACATACAGTGCTGGCCAAAATTATTACAACACTAGTGTTTTCAGCAGCTAAAAAATGGTTTTAAGGGTATAGTTCACCCAAAAATGAAAATGTGATGTTTATCTGCTTACCCCCAGGGCATCCAAGATGTAGGTGACTTTGTTTCTTCAGTAGAACACAAATTATGATTTTTAACTCCAACCGTTGCAGTCTATCAGTCGTATAATGCATGGCAATGGTAACAAAATCTATGAGTGTAAAAAAAAAACATGCACAGACAAATCCAAATTAAACCCTGCGGCTCGTGACGACACATTGATGTCCTAACACACGAAACGATCGGTTTGTGCCAGAAACTGAACAGTATTTATATAATTTTTTACCTCTAATACACCACTATGTCCAACTGTCTTTGGGCGCG